GAAGGAAGGAAGGAAGGAAGGAAGGAAGGAAGGAAGGAAGGAAGGAAGGAAGGAAGGAAGGAGGGAGGAAAGAAAGCATGCAGGCAGGAAGGCAAGCAAAGATAAACTAATGTGTATAATGTTGTACAATAAAGCAAAATTTTAATCCAGGTTTTCCTACAAAACCCTGTAAAGACTTATACCATACTAGGTACATTAATAAAGAAAGTGATGCAAAATTATACAAATAGAAAAGTTTAGGTTTGAACCACAGGACTAGAGGTGTAGAATAAGTGGCAGAAAATTTGCCTAGCAAGCACAGCGTTCTGAATTCAAGACCTGGTACTACCACCAATTAAAAACAAAAAAGTCAAACACTGGACTATTCAGGTATGGGTTCTTTTCAATCAAACACAGAAAGAAGATAAAAATGTTCTGATGAGGGGCTGGGAAGGTAGCTCAGTGGTAGAGCGCTCGCCTTGCATGCATGAGGTCCTGGGTTCGATTTCTCAGCACCACATAAGCAAAAAAGAAAAAAAGCTGGAAGTGGCACTGTGGCTTAAGTGATAGAGTGCTAGCCTTGAGCAGAAGAGCTGAGGGACAGTGCCCAGGCCCAGAGTTCAGGCCCCATGACCGGACCCAATAAATAAATAAATAAAGTGGTTTCTTAAAAAAAAAAGAAAGAAAGAAAGAAAAAAGTTAAAAGTGTTCTGATGAGGAAAAAAAAATCCTCTATAAGCATTTATTTGCCTATTGCAAAAGGAAGGTATTTTATGCACTACATATGGATTATAGTTTAAATAAAAGGTACTCTATGATCAAACTTAACTACTCATGGGCTAGGAAGGTGGCTCAGTAGTAGAGCGCTTGCCTTGCGTGCATGAGGCCCTGGGTTCGATTCCTCAGCACCACATAAGCAAAAAGAAAAAAAAGCCAGAAGTAGCACTGTGGCTCAAGTGGTAGAGCGTTAGCCTTGAGCTGAAGAGCTCAGGGACAGTGCCCAGGCCCAGAGTTCAGGCCCCACAACAGGACCAAAAAAAAAAAAAAACCTAACTACTCATTTAGAAATAACAAAATCCTCAATCTGACAAGTGCATGTGATCCTAATATGCTATATATAACTCCTTTGCCCCAGAAGAAAAGGCATGTTTTCCTCAATGAAAAACATTTTATGCGTAATGTGTATGCGTCTGTATATGTACTCATAGTTCACCTATTAATAACTCCCATAATTCACCTATTAATAACTCCTATTAATAACTTCCTTTTGCCAAACATAGCCAAGTGTTCAGTTTCTACTTGAAATGTCAAAAGCAAAAGCAAGCTGGGCACCAGTGGCTCATACCTATAATCCTAGCTAGATCTAAGGATCTTGCTTCAAAGCCTGCCCAGGCAGGAAAGCCTATGAAACTCTTATCTCTAATAAACTACTCAAAGAAAGCCAGAAGTAGAATTGTGGCTCAAGTGGTAGAGCCCTAGCCTGAAGTAAAAGCAGCTCTGGGACAGAGCCCAGAACCTGAGTTCAAGCCCCAGGGCAACAAATCAAAAGGTATGAGATTGCTCTCTATTTGCCTGAAGCACTACTCTTCTCTAAACCCTTTAAATCTCTAGAAAAAAATACCTTTAACTATTGTAAAGACACAGTTAAAAGAGTCTTCAATCTGCTGCTGGGGGCTCCTGGTAGAGCATCTTTCTTTTTTTTTTGGGGGGGGGAGGGTAGGTCGTGGGGTCTGAACTCTGGGCCTAGGCACTGTCCCTCAGCAATTCAGCTCAAGACTAGTGCTCTACAACTGGAGCTACTGCACCACTTCTGGCTTTTTCTGCTTATGTGGTGCTGAGGAATCGAACCCAGGGCCTCATGCGTGCAAGGGAAGCTCTCTACCACTGAGCCACCTTTCCAACCCCTAGAACATGTTTCTTGAATGCACAAGGTCCTAGATTAAATACTACAAAAAAAGTCTTCAATCTGAATAATAGCAATTTAAGGCACACAAGACAAAACTGATGTCAATATTACTTATGTGTTATAATACAATTATATTAATCGTTCATTTTTTTAATTTCCAGAAACATATTCAAAAGACATTTATAAACACATATATTGATATTCACACATAATTAAAAACTATCATTCTTCTTACCTGAAGTTGTTTGGCAGATAGATCTTTTGTTCCTCTAAAGACATAGCTTTTTGAAATGCCTTCACATCCAAGCTCATGAACCTGCACCATTCTCCCAAAAGTAATAAGTCCAACCAAAGCTGTTGGTGGCAAGAGACTTAATGACATTTGCATGGATTCCTTCAAGGCTTGTAAGTCTTCGTCTTCCATGCAAGTATCAACGACGTAGAGGAATATCAAAGGCATTTGAGGACCACGCTTTTAAGAAAATTTTGCAATAAGAAAAGGTATTAACACTTCAATACAATATTTAAAACAGTCATTCAAGGACTCATTAATTAGTACAAATTCTAATATGTGCATACAATGCAATAATAACTAAGCCATAACAGAAATAAAGTAGGTTATATGTGTTGTTATTGAAAGGTGGCTCAGAAGCTGTACTGAGGTAAAAATTAAGTTTAAATACAACATAAGCCTGGTACCAGCAGCTCACACCTGTAATCCTAGCTACTCAGGAGGCTAAGATCTGAAGATCCCATTTCCAAGCCAGCCCAGACAGGAAAAGTCTGTGAGACTCTTACATCCAATTAACCACTAAAAAGTCAGAGGTGAAGCTATGGCTCAAGTGGTAGAATACTAGCCTTGAGGGGAAAAACAAACAAACAAGCTCAGAGTCAGTACCCAGGCTCTGCACCCAAAAGAAAAGAAAGAAAAAAGTCATATTATTACACAGAGGGAAATTTATTTTCTATTTAATTACAGGAAGTTAAATTTGCTTTTGTGTCTATATGTCACAAGCTTTTACTTGCAAATCAACATTTTCTAAGTCTGAATTTCATGTAAAAAGTATTTGTTTACTTTTAAATAATAAATCAGTAACTATGTAGCTTAAGCCAGGCATGGTGGTTCACACCTGTAGTTTTATCTACTTAGGGAGGAGCACTTGAATCAGCAAGTTCAAAATGAGACTGGACAGCACAGCAAGACCTCAATCTCATTTTTTTTAATTTTTTTAAGTTTAAAAAGTATGTATAAAGAAAGTGGCACTGTAGCTCAAGTGGTAGAGCAATCGCCATGAGCTGAAGAACTGAGGACAGCACTCAGGCCCAGAGTTCAAGCCCCACGACTGACAAAAAATAATAATAATAATAATAATAATCCCTCATAGCATTTGGGGCTGGGAAGGTGGCTCAGTGGTAGAGCACTTGCCTTGCATGCATGAGGCCCTGGGTTCGATTCCTCAGCACCACATAAGCAAAAAGAAAAAAGCTGGAAGTGGCACTGTGGCTCAAGTGGTAGAGCGTTAGCCTTGAGCTGAAGAGCTGAGGAGCAGTGCCCAGGCCCAGAGTTCAGGCCCCATGACCGGACCAAAAAAAAAAAAGATAAAAAGATGTATAAAATAACTACTTAAACATTAATGCCATTCTTGGAGAACCTTTTTTTTTTTTTTTTTTTTGCTGGTTATGGGGCTTGAGCTCTGGGCCTGGGTGCTGTCCCTCAACTCTTCAGCTCAAGGCAAGTGCCCTACCACTTGAGCCACAGCATCACTTCTGGCTTTTTCTGTTTATGTGGTACTGAGGAATGCACGCAAGGCATGCATTCTACCACTGAGCCACTTTCCCAGCAGCAGAATCTTAAACTAGTCAGGAAGGCCAAATTGCTGAGTGGCTCCAATAAACCATAATTCTGTTTTCTATACAACATTCTTATTTCCACTGAAACTGTGTGAAACTGTTCACAGATGGAAGAAAAAACGATCTTCCCAATGCAAAACAGGTTCATTAATTACAGCTAGGGGGTACATTAATGGATTTTATTATCATAGTAACTAAGTATCTGTGAAAAGACTTTCCAATTACAAAACAAAATATACTAACTTACTCCATACAACAAATCACACATCCTACCCAGTATCTGACTATCCATCAAATAACTACATCAGAGAAATTATCTACAAAGGTAGGTTCTTACCTTTGAAAGGCTCTTTAATTCAGTGAGCTATAATACATTTAAAGCCATCTGAAGCCAGACACAGTGGCTAACACCTTTAATACTAACAATTTAGGAAATGGAAATAGGAAAATGTAGTTGGTTCAAGGCCAGCCTAGGCAAAAAAAATTAGCAAGATTCTATCTTGCCAATACTATAATGCCTGCCTGTAATCCAAGCTATGCAGGGAGCATAGACAGGATGACCATACTCTGGGGATGGCCTGAGAAAAACGTGTCAGATTCTGCTAGTAGTTCGCATCTAAAAGCCTAACTACCCAAGAGGCACCTGGTAGTTCAAGACCAGGCTAGGCAAAAAAAGTTCATGAGATTCTACCTCTAAATAATCAGCAAAAGCAGGGCAGGGCAGGCACCCAGTGGCTCACACCTATAATCCTAGCCAATTAGAAGATTAAGATCTGAGAATAGAGGTTAGAAGCCAGCCTGGCAGACAAATCTGTTAAGACTTTTATCTCCAAATAACTAGAGGAAAAGAGCAGGAAGCAGAAGCATGGCTCAAGTTGTAGAATATTAGCCTTGAGCAAAAATGCCTAATGAGAACATGAGGACCTGAACTTAAACCCCAGGACAGGGGCTGGGAAGGTGGCTCAGTGGTAGAGCGCTCGCCTTGCATGCATGAGGCCCTGGGTTCCATTCCTCAGCACCACATATGCAAAAAGAAAAATGCCGGAAGTGGCGCTGTGGCTCAAGTGGTAGAGCGCTAGCCTTGAGCTGAAGAGCTGAGGGACAGCGCCCAGGCCCACAGTTCAGGCC